CGCTGCGGCCCATGGGAGGAATTTAAGTCAGAGAAAGTTTGTGGAGGACTGTCTCCTGTGAGAGGAGGACCACGATGGAGCAGGAGGAACAAGTTTCGGACACTCCCCTCACTGAACATGAAGGAAGTGGCAGAGCTGACTGCACCCCCCATTCCCTGCCCCTGCGCCACTGGGGGAGGAGGTAGAGATATCGCGAGCAGAGCTGAGCCGGGGAAGAAGGGAGGGGTGGGGGGAAGGTGTTCTCAAGATGTGGCAACGCTTCTCCCTGTCCTATTCTGTTATGTGTTGTTAGTGTCTGTAATAAATGTATGTTCTTTTTTTTTCTTCCCCTAACAAGTCTGCCTTTTGCTCGTGATCATAAAAGGGGGATTTTCCCCCATCCCAGTCCTATCTTGAACCCCAAGCCTGGCTCTCTGTCCCTTCTCATTGCCAGAGGGGAAGGGAGAGAGAGGTGCTGCATTGTGGTTGGCTGCCAATCAGGCCTAAACCACAACACTTTTAAACACAGTTAAGAGAGGAGAAAAGGCCAAGCAAGGTTTTGATGAAAACTGTTTAAAAATGGAGCACTTACTAGTTGGAAGATAAAATATATAATCAGGCTTTCAGGAATGAGCTCTTAGTTTGCCTAAAGACTATTACAGAATTCATTCTTAATGTACCTGATTTGCATAAAATCTTTTTTGCCAACTACCTGTTGCAGCACACACCTAAAGTGGGGAAGCACAGTCCTCCATCAGAGCTCAACTTGTCAAGCCAACACTACAGATGTGCTACTTATTTGCAATGTGATTTTCCAGTCTCAGATGTCATGAGGCACATACATACCATGTGGGAGGTGGTGCGTATTTTAAAAATACCTTTTAAAGAGTCATTAATGAGCAGAGTTTCTCTCAGGAAGCAGTGGCAATGGTTAATTAATCCACCTGCAGCTCTCGGGGTGGTTTTTCCTGCAGTGTGTGCTAATTCAGCTTCACTTAGAGGTTTCTCCTTTGGAGTCAGTCTCCCGAGTGTTTTCTGGATCAAATTCTCCATATGATAACCTTCCTGAAAATTCCACCTGGGCTCCCCATGTCAGGCTGATTTCTGCTTTCATGATTTGGTACCAGCACTTTAAGATTCAGCAAGCCAAATTTCTTCCCCACTTGTAGGTGATGGAACTTTGGGAAGCGGCACTGTGTGGTGGACACAGAATGGGGAGGAAGTTGCAGCTTGCTGCTCTGCAGAGACCAGCACTTGCTAGCAGACCTAGCAAACATAAAGATTTGTCAAAGCTTCCTTCCCCACTGCAGGAGCAGACAGGGATGGGTCATGAGGAGTCTGAGTAGGACAATGATGTGGCCGGGTAATGGGGACTTAAGGCCACGCTTCAACTCCCAGGGTGTTCTTGGCAGATGGATCCTTCGGAGAGGGGTTGAAAATGGGTCTGAGGGTCACTGCCTTGGCACTCCAGAGAAAAAGGGGTTTGTGGCTGGGAGGGCACCTTGGCAGGTAGCACCGCAGCTGCAGCAGGAGAAGTTGACAGGGTACATTTTCTTGCAAGTAGATATAATTACTGAGCCCAAGCTATGAGCTCCTGCTAATGACAGGGTTCATTAGCTCCCTCACTGCTGCTGCCAGGTGGGGCTGGGGGCTACCGCGGGCCTGCAGTCACCCCAGGGTGCACGTGCAGCAAGTGTCTCCTTCCCAGCTGACGGAGAGGGTGCTCCCTGATGTACCCGCAGCATTGCTCAGCACAAATCTCTAGTATCAGCACAGGCATACAGGCAAAACTGTCTCACAGGGGCAGCTGGTCTTGGTGGGAGCAGAATAACATGTTCAGCTAGAAATGCTGCTTTGCTTGTAAATATGTAGTCCATAATAAAAGTGCCTTACCAATATAGCATTGCTTACTGGTGCTAGTATAGTTTACTAATATTATAATACTGTACTAGTCATCATACTCTAATTATAAATTTGCTCTTTTCTTAAAGACTTTAAATGGTGCAAAATAACAACTACTGGAAAGCTATTACAGCAGCTAATCATCCTCATCATTTAAACCTCCTTGTTAGTTGAACTTCCTCATTCCTTAGTCTTCCCTCAAGTAAGTCCCTAGAGATACTTTGACAAACAAGGTGACAAATGTTGTGCTGTCCTCAGGCTGCTGGTAAATAAAAGGGGTCAGTCCCAGAGATACCAGTCAGGCATCTTTGATCGGCACGATGTGATCTTTAACAAACAGGTCAAGGAAGCATCAATGGCATTTTCTCTCTAAGGCTCAGATTGCCATTGGCCCAAGTTTATCCAGAAATCGGGTGGCAAAAACATTAGAGGGTATGAAATTTCTGGCCTCCTGCAGCTTTCCAGCCCTGATGGATCCCCCTCCAAGCACATTTGATGCCTGCTCACCTTCACTAGCCTTCAATACAGGTGTCAGTTTGATTCAAATTTGGTGTATATATAGCTCCAGAGTTTTAATTGACGCTGTTTGACAGAAGGTATTCCTGCCTACAAAATTTCATGGTTTTTAAATTAAGGTTTTGGGGGCTGAAATGTAGAAAAGGGAAATTTTATCTTGGTTGTAGTTTGGGTAAAGCATCTGAAACAGCTTTTTAGAGTGGCAGTTCCACTAGAACATTTTAAACCAAAGTTCATACTCTGGATCTGTAAAATGGCAATGTTTGCAGGTAGCATTGACATTTGCTATAACAAACTAAGATTAAAGATACACATCTTGATTTTCTCTTTACACTTTTAATTGCACTGTACCTTTAATGGAATTTTGGACACAAACTCTTCAGTGATACAGCTCATTATACTCTTTTTTCCCCCCCTTACCTTTAGAGGAGTGCAGAAGAGAGAATTTAGGGAAGTAATGACCTATTTTATTACATAACCACAGGAACTGGGAGGAGGGAAAGCAGAAGAGGAGTCTAGATTAAGGGTTGTTTGCTGAAATTATTTAAACGACTTTTTAATTGGCAAGCTGTTGAGTTGTTATCATCAATGAAGAGCGCATCAACAAGCAGTATCTAAAGCGGTAAACATTTCACTTGAGAAATGGAGCTTACAAGCTCTGTAACCATCATCCATATAGTGAAGAGTTAAGACTAAGTGACTGGATCACAAGAATACACCGTACAAGAAATATCAGGGGTGGGGTTTGGAGTGAATAGTTTTTGTTGTCTTCTGCTTTTTTTCTCTGAAGAGGTTATGGAGGCAGGGGAGGAGACATTTGCACAGCCTTCAGCTACCCTGCTTTGGGGACTATGCAGAGTACTGATCCCTGTCTGAAGATCTTTTCCATACAGATGCAAAACATACAGGTGAATTTCCAGGGCTTGCTTTGCTATCAGTCCCTATTAATGGACTCTGAAGGTCCTATGCAGTTTATAGACCTCTCATCTAATAGCGGGCACCTCTATTGCAGACCACATGTAAAACATCTTTGCGGTCCCTTGATGCTGATTTATACTGTTTAAAGGGATGGGGGTGGAACAAGTTGTTAAAAGATGAAGAAATTGAAAGCTCCCCTAACTGCTGTATTATCCACCTGACATTCTCCAAATGCTAGTCATTAATTACTAATGCCTTGAAAATCAGAGCAGTTATCCAATTCAAATTGTGTTACATCTCTGAGCCAGAGCATTTCCATTATCATTTCCCTTTCAAACAATTCTTCCTTCTCTGCAGTTGTTAAAGGCTCAGACCCCACTCTGTTTCCTCTCATTTGGACCTGTTATCCACACAAGGATATTTCTACTCCATGCCTGTCCTGTCTTCACACTGGTGAAGATTGGTGTTTACAGTGTAATTATTACAAACTTACAAATCGGGCCCTCCAGCTCCCCCCAAAACTACACGTGCGCATCTGACGGCAGAACGTGGCCAACGTAAGCTGTAACATTCTTTTCCAATTGGTGATCAAGTGCTTGGGGAGGGACTGAAGCTGGTTTAAGGCTCAGGCTGCCTATGCAATCCTTGTACCTGCAGACCTCCCTGTGGACTAGGCAGGAGAGTTAACAGTCACACCAAGCCCCAGAGCCAAGCTCTCAACCAAAGCAATTCCCTTTAGACACCAGCAATAACTTGGCCCCATGGTGGCAACACGGGGTATGTTTCTGGAGTCACCAGTAATGCTGGTCCTAGGTGAGCTGTGTATTCAGAAATGATGGGGTTTATTTCCTGGCACGTTTGTTCTTCACTTATGTATATTTTCATGCCTGCCAGCACTCTGAAATCTAGACATTGAGTGTTGGGGGCAGGCTAGATGCAATTTTTCATGCTGCTGACACTAATTGGATGAACAGACCTTCTCAGAAGGGGCAGTGTAGGAAATGTGTATGGAAAAATGACAAAATAAGGAGTTTCACAGCTAAATAAAGACAAGTGGCTGAAAATGGTTTTTACAGCTTTGGCTTTCATATGTTTCATTTGGGAACCTAAAACCATTTTGTACAACAACTAACAGATTAAGATTCACAACACCTTTCTGAAGAAGATAATTGCTCCTGTTTTACAGATGGAGAAACAGAGGTATTGAGGCTATCATTTGAAAATACGTCCCCTGTTTTCAAGTCCCCAGATTGAGATACATTTAAACCTAATTCTCAGAAGCATTAAATGTCACCATTTATATTCATTCATTTGGCATTGTTTACACATAGTCTCTGAAAATCAGATGCGTTGCCTCCTAACTTGAATGGTCAAAATAACCGAGGTGATGTGGCGAAGATCACAGAGCAACTGCAAGACGAGAGTGAGACTGGGACTTGTATACCCTCATGACACATCCCCCCTTTTACTCACTGAATATGTGCCTTGGATCCCCTGACATTACATCAACGATAATGTTTGGGTTATTGATCAACTTTATAGAGTCATTTTACCTTGTCTTTCTAGCCATCGAGAAATTGTCTTCATGTTTTTGTGATTAAGTTTCTTATTGTAGAACTAGCATGGAAATGCAGTGAGAATCATTTGTATCACCTGATTTTCCCCCATTGTTTTGTTTTTTTCAGCATACAACAGTTTTGCCCTTTGTATTAATCGAGATGAGAACAACACATCATCAGTATCCCAGCAGGAGCTGTGGACTGGCGGCAGTGTGTACCTTCGCTGTTGGCTATATTTTATGGTAAGGGCTGTACACGCTGTGTTTTCATATTGTATTGGGGGTTTTGTACTGCTAAATTTGGGCAAATATTTCATTATGGATATAATCGCTAACAGATTCACGCTGCATGCCTCGTTTGGTCCAAGACCTGGGCTTTGTCTGGTTTCCCCAGATGCTTATATTTTTAGAAAGTATATGCCAAACCTCACACAACAGGAATTTGTTGAACAATCCCATGTAAGCAGTGGTCTTTCCAAGGCTACATTTTTCAACCTTTTTTCAAGCTAAATGTTTTTCTTGGACCTTAGTTTTATTGCTTAGGGTTTTTGTTCTATCAAATAAAATTGAGAATAGGCAAATGATTTCCTGCATCAGTATTGAAGCGGCAACAGAAAAGACAGAACACTGTCTTTTTTCTTTACTGGTTCATAAATTCTTTATGTAAAATTGATTACAGAATAAGCCAGTAATCCAAACACTGTTAAGTTTGTTTTAAAAAATGCAAATGTTTGTGAAAAATTAAACTAAAACAGAAATAACTTTTCTTATACAACACTAAATTAAGTCTTTGGGCAGTTTCTGTTCAAGCACCTGACTCACATGACAGAGTTGATTTACTTTGGTCATTCTAGTATTTTATTTTTCACTAAACCTTTGTTTTATTTACAATACTCCTGTGATACTGTATATCCTTTGTCCTTCCTGAAAACATTTCATGACTCCCTGTTTACTTACCATATTCTTCCTTCTCACCTCACAATATTCTTCCCTCAGCTAAGAGGATATTTTCCAAAATTGTGGATAATACTGCTTCTTCCACCAGTTAAGTGAGATAAAACTAATGAGAGAGGAACACAGGCCCAAGGCAGTACTGTATACTGCTTCAACTATGCAACTTGCCCCTTCAGTCCAATGAAAGAGAGGCCATTATTCATACCCATCCATGCACATGGAGTGATCATAAAATGTTAGTAATCCAGCTGAAGTGGGATGTTATGTCCCAGGACAACAGTCACATTCTGCCATTTGCTTTTATAAACATCCATACCATTCTTAAAAAAGAGTATTTGTAATTGTAAGATAAGGACAGCTTCATGCAAAAAGGCATGTAAATGATTCCTTCAGGAGAAATTAATTAATTTTTTTTAACCCATATATAATAATGCGTAACTGTGATATTTCTCAACCTTCCTCTGAAGGGTGCCTAGAGACAAGTTGACAGGTACTGGACCTGTGATCTGACCTCTTACAGCAACTCCTGTTTTCTCAGAATCATTGGAGTAGACACATTGGAGTAGGAAAATTGAAACAATTCAGTTCTGCAAGTGAAATAAAACCGGAGGTGTCTTAAAATCTTTTAAGAACGAGTTACAGTATCAATGTGATACTCACATGGCTTGATCCTGCCTACTACAGAGCATCTACATCCTACAGCTACAAGTAAAAGGTAAAAGGAAATTGTAGGACAAGTAAACCATGGGAAGAAGCTTCTGCATTAAGAAATTAACTACTAAGCAGATACCCAGTTACAGTCTACGATCATCTCCCTTTGCTTTTGCTGTTTATTGGTTTTGCCTACAGGCACATTATTTCCGGAATGGACAGAGCTACTCTCAAGTGGCTCACCTTCTTCCAAGTTGTGATTTCTCTAAAGATGGTCTGAAACAGTTGCTTATTCAGCCTAAAAGGTCATCCTGCTAAATTCTCCACTTAAAGTCCATTTCATAGAGTACTGTAGAATAGAATACCAGGTTGGGAGGTTCTCCTTATGGAAGAAGGTCTGTGGGGAACACTGGAGGCAGACACAAGCTACACTGTGACATCACCTGCAAGTTCCACGTGTCTTCAGCCTGCATGTAGTATTGAAGCCTCTCTCCAAGATTTGGTTGAGGCTGCAAGCCAAATCTTGCCTCCATGATATCGATACCACGTATCCCACATTCACAGGTTGGGAAAATCTGCCAGAAAGTATGAAAATTGAGCATTTTTTCATCCCTCTCACACAGAGTGTGCCTGCCTTTCACAGCTGAGGTCCTCTATCTTCCTGCTGCTAAGTGTGACCACATTGAAATAGAGATCTTAATCACTTAGAGGGTTTGGAATTAATTTGGAATTGCTTCCCTTGTTGGTGTACCACTTAGACCCCTCAAGGTTAGCACAGTGCATTAAAATGAGACTACACCTGCAAATGACCTAGTTATATACAGCCTGGTGGAGCATCCTTCCTTTGTACCTTTGGTTGTCCACAGGTCCCCTGCTGGCGCTTAGTTCTTGGCTTATGTTTTTTTCCCTAGAAGTTAGGGATATGCCGCTTGAGAATTTGGACTCCCTACTTCATTGTTCCCTCAGCAGAACTGTTTTCACTGCAGCTTTCTCAGTATAAAGTGGAGATAGTTGCTAATCAGATGTTCTCTATGTTTGCCCTTGAATTTTGAACTCTCCCTCCATCTCGGATGAAACCTTCTTACCATGATACATGATTTATATATCATGTTGCACTTTGTACTGTAAAGGAACATACAGGAGGATAATGTTTAGGTTTGATTCTGTTAATGCATTTTTTCAACCCCAAGTAGAGGAGAGTTTCTGTTTTATTTCATATGTGACTGAATCTTTCGTGTATGAAAGAGATGGTGGAATAGTAAGCTTTTATTATATATATTTGATAAATGAGAAAACAGGCAAACGATTCCGAATAGAATCACTGAAGTTGGAAGAATATAGCTAAACAACTTGATATACCCTGATCATTATTCAGATACATGTTACCTTTCAAGAAACATCCTTTCTTGAAGAGTAAAACCTTTTTCTGTTTTTCTTTTTTTTTGAATTCTCTCCCTTCAGTCAGAGAGCATTTGAGTAGGCGCTTAGCTCGTGTGTTCCCTATGAGGGGGAGCTCTCCCTTGCTCTTAAGGAACTGTGCCCAGGCAGAGCATTCACAGACTTGCATTGCCTGTTGCAGACCATACATGGACTTTCAGGATCAAGGCCATGGGATAAGACGGGAAAGGCCGATTGGCTTTATTTAGCATGTCTTGAAAAGGTCACAATTTGTATTGAATTGTTAAATCTAGACAGTGCTAAGAAAACCCAAGAGCTTGCCAGTACTACCAGAAAATACTGCCAGTGGGTGTACAGAGTTGGTTGTCAAGGAGCAGAAAAGAGCCAGAAATGTGTTGCTTCTTGTAATAAGAATGACCTCATGGTAACTAATATCAGAGCCTAATACATCCCTAAAATAAACTGAGACAAATACGTTTATTTTAAATGGTTTTCTTGTTCCCTCTGCTTTTGAGTGCTTGAGGATGCCAAAAAAACAGACCCTAAGAACCTGACTCCACTGCTCTAGTCATGTTGGGCTACGTGTTTGGGAGCAAAAGACTCGATCTGCTCTTGTTGCTATCTCAGATCCACTAGGAGCTGCCTGCACATGTGCCAAGCTTGGACTTGATTCATTCTTTCATTCTTTGATAAATCTATTTAAAGAGCTCAGATACCTTTAAACTTTCATTTGAAAATAAAGTTTCTCTAGAAGTGACTTTAGGAGAGTTCTGTAGATTTGCCAAGGAGAGCATTTAGATAGGGTAATTTGCTGAATTCCTCATGAACAAATTTAAGAAAGGAATGTACACTGAGAATTCGGAATTAATTTGAGATCGATGCTGTCAGCCTTGCTGTAGGATTTCCACTAGCGATTCTCCATAGAAGGAGAGGAAAATCAGAAAGAGCAGATGTTGGCAAAGGGGTAAGGGTCACAAACCTTGACATTCGGAAGAGAGGGTTGGACAGTTTGAGTGTGAAGCTTGGTGGGAATTGACATCCATATCAATAAAAAAGGGCAGGATTGAGAACGATTTCTGAGGTTGCTGGTGCTGATGGAGCGGGACAGACACAGCATGGCTGTGGTACAGTGTGAAGACTGTATGAAGGGAGGGGGTCATAAATGCTTTTGGAAGTGAGCACTGGGGACAGAAATTCAGTAGAGATCAGAGGAGTCAGGGGTTGGGGAAAAAAACAAGTGAAAAGGCCTTGAGTCGAGTAAAAGAGATGAACTAGAACCATGAGTTAAAAGAGAAATGGGTAAGGAAATGTGGAGCTCACAGGTCAGCAGCTTGAAAGCTGAAATCATGCAAGTAAGTGAGAAAATCTGGGAGGGGGAGAGAGACTGGATTTGAAATCAGAGTGGAAGGCTGATGGAGAGATGGGTGATAGATGAGACAATGCAGAGGAGGAGAAAAGAGAAAAGAGTTGGAACCAGAGCTACTTAGAACGGGAAAGAGCAGGAAGAAATAGAAGCTGCAGAAATAGGCCAGGAGAAGATTAGCGTCCCCTGTACCTGACCCAGAAGGAGGGTGGGAGAGCAGAAGTGCTTTCAGCGAGAGAAGGCTGCATGGATCCTCAGCCTGTTAGGTCTGACATAGTCATTATGGACTGTTACATTCTGGCTCCCCTCCACCTCCACATCCTCAAATGTTTCAGTCAAAGCAACAGTACAGTCACAGATGACATGCATGGATAATACATTCTCACTTGCTTGTGCAGCTCCTTAAAATATAGCTCAAGAAGGCATAGCAACCATTACTATATTTAAAATTATTATTTATCAAAATAGATGACTTCCAAAGGTGACAGCACCTTGCAGCGAATGTGCAGTTTCTGTTATTCTAGCTACCTGTACACGAACACAAATTTCTGCTAAGCTTTGTTCATCCCAGAGGGTGCCAGCACCATGTCATGCTGCGTATGTTTTGCATGTGACATGATTTGCAGCTGCAATTTTTCAGGACTTGTTCTGACTGCATAAGCCACTCCATACCAGTAGCACAGCCCTAAGACCCATGTATTGTTCAGCACCACTCAGATCAATGGAGAGGAATTCAGCATAAGAAACTGGAAAAAGACTGGATGATTGCTGTTATTTCCTAACTGATGACAGTTTATTGAACTTATTTTTAAGTCTTTAAAATTTCTAAACAATGTACATTCCTGGTGTAAGTGACTTAGGCCTGGCTGGCTGGTATTGTAAGAAGCCAGGCATCTGAATGTGGCTGAGATCTTAAGTATTCTGCCTAGATGCAGAACAAGCTGTACTATGTTTTGGGAGGGCGGAGGGGAGGAAAAAAATCATAAGGATTTATGAAAATGTGCTTCACATCAGTTGGTATTAGAAACCAAAAGTTGAACAGATTTAGTGTGGGTCATTGAGTTCCTGCCTCTGAAAGCACAGGGTTGGTCCCTACTCTATAACCACAAATGATTTGTTCGTTCAAGTTTTGAATGACTCAGCTGCTGTAAGCCCGTCACCTCCTTTGGGAGACATTCCACAATTTAATAGTTCTGGGTACAGTTCTCACTTTCTGTGGAAAAGGAAGAGAGTGATGCTAGAAAAGATCATGAAATAAAAGTGTAGAAAATGCCCATGTTCTGTTGTTTGGTAAAGAGTAGCCACAATGGAAACTGGCCTAGCTTTTGTTTGGGACCAAAGATTCGGCCTTCCTTTCTGCCAGCCACTGGAAACCTGAATGGCCAAAAGGATGTGCAAAAAGATTTGATACTGCAAGAAGTAACAAGGAAGGTACTGCCGTCGTAGATCAGAGTAGTCATGTATCCAGGCTCTAGCTGTAGCTAATGTCAAATGCTTCAGGAGAAGATTTAGCAGGCAATTTTGGGATTACCAGCCTATAAGCGAAGTTTTCTTCTAAAACCTATGTGAAAAAGTAGATCAGTCTTGATGGTTTATATACCTTGTACTCTTTGAACTTAAGCATAACTGTACACATTCCTAATGCTTGTACAGTCCTCTGACTTCAGAAGCTTGCTAGAGTTGCATAATACAGCCTAGAGGAGTGGACTAAGTCAACTTCCAAGCTTGTATACTTCAGAACTGTTTTGAATATCTTGATTTCAGTGATGTATCAGTAAAAGATAGGGTAGAGGATTCTGGAGGTTAATTAGGTATCATGCAGAAAGATATTGCCATTATCAGATTTTAATTTATTGTCTCAGTTCTGTTGAAGCGCTTCTTCTATTATGAGGAAGAGCGCTGGGGGGTCTTCAGCCATTTTATGGCTTGCATTGTTATTCCATGTCCTCTCATTCACTGCTCTTGAAAAGTTCCATGGCCCCTCGTCTGGTAGTTCCTGTTTCCAGAACATGTAGTACTGATTGTTGTTTGGCTGCAGATTTTGCTGAAGGACTCAACTTGGTCAGGAAATGGGTGGAGACTCTCAGAGTTCAGACCACAATGTGCGGCCAAGCTGTGATGCCTTGTGAGAGTATATGCAAACTGCTGTAGCTGAAAGCAGCCATCATGAAGGGAGCAACCATTTTCTGCTACATGTCTCCCATTGCCAAATCTTTCAGGTGTCATGGTTATCTGCCATTATACCTCTGTGTTAAGCTTGCTTCTACCGGGACTAAGTTTTACACATGCTGTTGTAACAGCTGCATTACTCAGAGCTAATAGGTAGACCACACGTAAACCCCAAGGTTCCAACAATTTTTTGTAGTTACTTTTCCTCATTACCAAAAGATCTGTAGCCAAAGAATAAATGTACGGGTATCTTCTATGCATAGTTTTCATTTCCTCCTGTTGACTTTGATAGGAGAGATATGTAACATCTACTGTATCCTAGAAGTGAAAAACAGCTACAAAGTCAAATTTTTGACAGAATTTTTTAGAAGAAGCAATATTGTGTGTTTTCAGATCACTTTTTCTGGTTTCTACACCAGCTGGTTGAAAATTTCTGAAAATCGCCAGTTTTTTTAACAGGCATTTGAATTTGAATACAATGTATGCATGTTTTCATTCCTTCTTTTCTTAGCAGTTCTAACAAATGGCTAAATGAGTACAATGACCTGTAACACATTCGTCTTGGAAAACACATGGATATGTCCACATGGACTGCCATGGAACCAAAACACAGGAAGGTTCAAGTTAATTTTACCTTCTCAAAGTAGCTGGTCCAGTTTTAGCTTAAACTTTTTCTCCTCGGTTTATTTTTATCTAAACGACCCATTTTTTATACCTGTTCAGTAACAGGGTCTTAAATTGGATCTAGATTTGCACTCGTAAGTAAACCTTAATACATGCTCCCCTGTGCTTATCTAATAATGAGGTTGGACAGGGATAATGACTGCTAGAATTGCAACGTTGAAAGCATTCATTAACATTAGTAATCAGCAATCTTGTGTGGAAGTTTTATGTCTGTGGTTGATCAGCCCTTTATTGTGCGGTGTCGAGATAGCTTGTATTCAAGCAGGAATGAACCCACTAAGAAAGGCCATCAGGTGAGGTTTCCATGGCAGCAGCTGTCCCTTTGCTGCTCCTATTTGTGATACAGACAATGCAGGAATAGTCAGTGTGTCACTTCTCAGTGGAGAGGAGTCAAATACTATGCCATCCCAACGCAGCGAGCAGCATGGTACAGCTCGTGTAAGAACGATCAGGTGGGTTTGTGACCGTTGTCTCCCGAGTGGCACTTGTTACCTCTTGTGCTCAAAGCATGAGTTCCTACAGTGTGGCTGCACCAGGGACAGGCGTGCAACGGCTACGCTGAACGCCTGAGCAGTGTCACCAAGCAATGAATGGGCTCCTGTTCTGGGCAGCAGAGAGCAGAGCGCACGGGCTGTACTCAAAGACTGAACTAACCAGAGTTCACTGACATTCAGGAGCTCATCAGTGACTCATTGGTTGGATTTAGAAAATATCTTCTCTTTCCAGCATAAATGCATTCTAGAAAATGGCACTTCTGCTTGGTTCGTGAAGTTGGCTACGTAGGCACAGGTTAGAAGGTCCCTTGAAAAGTCCTTCTCTGAAGGTGGTTTATAGTGCTGGGGAGTTTCATCACACCAGAGAAAATAAATGGAACAGGAACACTGGCGCTTTTTCAAGCTTTTTCCATGGATCTTGTTTTTCACAGAATCATCATAAAATTAAAGCAAATGAAACTGAAAAATGTTAGGCAATAATAGACACTCCCTGCTAAGCCAACCTGGCAGCAGAGGACATCCCATTACCTTCTACCCAACTGTCACATCTTTTTCTTTGATCAAGAGGAACATGGTATCCCCTGTTACCATGGGTTACACAGGAACCATTTATTTTTTCACAGATACCTTTATCTTGTCAGGTTAATTCTGGCACAGAAGAATGTTGTGGAAAATAACTGTAAAGTACAGAGATCATTTTCCATATGTGAACTCATTTGGAGAAAGTGTTTTTAATCTGCATTTAGATCGTGCAGATTAATTTACTGACACATGTAAATTCTTACATGAAGTGTCCAACTGTTAAGGGTTTGGCTATAATAAAAGCTTTTCTAAGGAGGAGGGAAGCTATGACAACCATGTGCATTTCCAGGGTGATGGAGAATTGTTAAGCAGGGATTCTGTACTCTCTGTGTGACAGGCATTTATGGTAACAGTTTTGGGTGGACTTCTGTGTCTCTGCCCTTCAGGAGCCTATGACTGTTGATCTAGTAATCAAGCGTTCCTTAAAACAAATAGAGGTATCAGCAAGGGAAGCAAATCATATGGACATGGAAATCCCCATCAATAATGGTCTGTGCAGCTGCTGAGTCTTCTCTAGCTGTGCTTCACTGTGAGCTTCTCTCTCAAAATTGCCGGGTCAGAAAGGAAGAGATTTACATTCCTGAAGAGATCCCAGCATCTCACGGGCCTCAGCCTGTCTCCAGTGAGCACTTTTCCCAGTTAGCCTCCATAATGCTTGCTCAGTTGTTTGGCAGCGTTTGCCTTTCTTAGCTTCCACCTGCTGGAACGTATGGGCTCGCACTGCTCCCTCTGACTTCACCACTCATCGTGTCAGATCTCAGTGCAAAAGCTATCCCTTCAGAGGGTACACGTGTCCACTGCAGACACACACAGCGAAACCACATACCCGCAGTGCTGCTTCAGGCTGCTCTGCAGTAAAGCTGACACCGTGTCTCTTGGGTTAGCATACCAACAATGTCTACTGTAGCTGAATGCTAAAAATCTCTGTGTCACCAGCAAACCACCATCATTCCTTTTCCTTGATTGCATATTGAGTGGAGCTGGGCAGAACTTCACTGATGAGGTGGTTTATTTTTGGTTTTGTTTTTTTTTTAATGTTTATCCTACCTGGAGAAAAGTTACGAAATCTCAAATAATACCAACTAACTGAAAGAAAAGGAGGAGCAACCTAAAACACAGGTGCTGAAGAAATTATTCTGTCAAAGAGAAGCTGAACCATATGTTTCTGGCAAGCCCAAAAACTGATGCACTAGCCAGGTGTAGTGAAGGAGAAGCAGCACAAACACTCAAACGTGCAAAATGAAAGAAGGATGCTGCAGAAAGCAGAGACTTGGGCTGTGTAGGAGAGCCGGTGAACCCTGAACGCTCTTTGGAAAAAGAACCTGCTTGGAACAGAGGGTGCTGCCTGAAACAGGGGTGTGTATTCCTCATGAATATAAATGCAGCGAGGACATACCTACCTACATCAGAACATTAAAATTGGCCAGCTGCTCATATTAAATTTAAAACAAACCAGTAAGAATGTGGGAAATCAGTCAGAGTTTCATCATTTGTGTTTTCTGTTCTGGGTGGATGTCATCCAGCTGCTCCAGCTCAGTTGCAACTTGCAGTCCTTTCTAATAATTGCTTTTCAGGTTACAGTAGTTAAGCCTATAGCCCAAGCTAATTTTGAAAAACAGGGCTGTAAGAGTCAGTACTTGTTATTTTTGTTTTGTTTCAGGGTGTGCTGGATTCACCACGTTACAGGAGTGTGGGTGTACCCACTTCTTGAGCACCTCAGCCCAGGTGTCAAAATAATCTTTTTTGCAGCTGTTACCATAATAATTAACATATTCTACTTGGTGGGAGAGGTCCTGAACAACTACATCTGGGATACCCAAAAATGTGAGTATTGTTTTAGGAATGAAATACACTGTTGGGACTTGAGCGTGCTCCTCTGAAAGTTGAGAACATTTAAAGCTGGCTAAAACAAAGAAGGACAGAAGTTCCACTGAGACGTCTTGCTTGCTTGATCCTAAAAGCAGCCGGATGAACAGAATGGCTGCTGGAGAGCGTGATGAGCTATGAATATGTATTCTTTTTTATAACTTCTAATACTAATTCAAGAGATGTTGGCAATTACCTGAGAGGTTTACAACCCACTTATTAGCTGATGAGCCCATTAAATGCAGCTAGGATAAAGTATCGTTCTGTGGGAATGCTGTTAATGGTAAGCTAAGACTTAGAAATAAAAATGTATTCTTCTAGTATTTTCAGGTATAAGGTGTTTTCTGCTTATTAATTTACTCAAGGAAAATTAATATGTTCATGTCAGTAAAATAACAGGAATGAAAGATCACCTTAGTGCAGAGTAGACATAACTGCAGACTCTACATCATCTACCCTGCCTAGGCCACCCACTGCTGAGTAGAGGAAGAGGGAAAATAAGACAAACACAAGATTAAAAGTAGGCTCCTTTAATCTATGAAGTATGTTTTTCATTTATCAAATTGCCTGAAATAAGCAAACAACATTCCTATCGCCGCAGTGGCAAATCACAACTGGAGTGAAATCCATGCTCCGTGGGAATTCTGTCATTACATGCATTGGGCCCATAACATGTTGGGACCATATGATCCGCCTGTATCCCCTTTTGGGAGAGTTAGTGTGCACTGGTTAATACAGCGTAAATTCACATGGTAGTTTATTGCACACACAAATCCCTTAACAGGTCCTCCAGTACTAGGTAGAACCTAATGCCAGAAGCTCAATGCAGTTTTAATCACTGTTTGCTCATACTAGCACCCAGGTATAAAGTGTCTTTTTGGGTTTTGCTCTAGAACCAGCAATCATTGTTCACAGTCTGGTTTTCAGTCCTCAGATTGATGTCACACTCACATCTATTTAACTTATTTAAGTTAATTCAGGAAAGAAGTTTCTAAAAGCGGCAGCCGCAGGGAATAATTTCACTTCACCTAAGTCCTGTATGAAGAATAATAATATGGTGAAGAATCACATGTTCTTACCAAGTCTATGAGTAATTAAACGGTGAAAAATCTCCCTCACTATTCTACAGTATGCATAACAAAACCCCTGGTTCTTGTGTCTCTCCACCCTAGAGGAGCTAATGTCAATCAGGTCATTCTTCCAACCTCTTCCAAGGTTCGCCATGGCCTTTTTATCCTCTCCATCGTTTCCTTGATTCAGTTAAAAAATATTGATCCAAAGTCCTTTGTGGCTCAAGCACTTGCAAACCAGAAAATACCATGAATCACCTGCTGGTTTGCTGTGCTTGAAACACTTTGCATAAACCTAACCTGAAGCATATGGCAGGCACACCATAAACAGCAGAGATGTAAAATAATGCCAGTCTGTCACCATGCGAGACTGGGGAAATATTATTTGAAAGCTATACATTTAAAGGGGGCTTTTGAGCAGTAAGCTTGCAAATCAGAGCAGTCTGACATGAGATTTCTGGGGTGAGAGAGGGTTGTTTTGGGTTTGGAGTTTTTTCCTTTTCCTCTGGAGATGCATTAAATAAAACCTCACTACTGACAAAATGATTTGCAGTTAGTTTTTCCAAGTTAAACCACAAACATGGTAGGCAAGGAAAAATTTGCCCTTTGTACAAGCCAGTGTCTGTCCACAGTTTTGAGGGTATCTGCATTCCTGCCAAACTATTTGATGCATCTGCAGTAGAGTGTTTCAAAAGAAAGGAAAGAGGCTCTTTTAAAAAGGCAAATAAAACAGCTCATTTAAAACTATTGGAAAAGTTCCTTCCAGCAGAAAGTAGAAGAGTCAAGATTGGCTCTGGAGCAGCCTTGTAAACCCACTGTAATCTTTTGGACCCGGCCTCTTGTTTTGGTTGTTAAACCTTCAGCTGTGGCTCTTCCATTACATTGGTTTGCCAGCAACACCCAGGGCCATTGTACTTGGACTGCTGGCAGTGCACAGACCCATTTGTTTCTGTGTTGCTTCTTTCAGCAAGGCAGCTCTGCAGTTGTGCTTTCTAACTGCAGATGGGTCTTACTGTTTCCCATATTGGAATTAATAACTATGTTTTTAAAGTGACTTCCAGTGTACCTACCATCTACTCATATATTGCATTAGCAGGTGATCTTACTTGTGACTGGATTTTCCTCTCAGCATTCTCAAACGTTGCTTCTCTTTTGCCTTCAGTCCTCAGAAGTCTTTCTTTTCCAGCATGCAGGAGGCCTGAAAACCTCCAAAAGAAATATTTGTATTTGAGATGTCTGGCAGAGAGGGCTTAGTCAGAAGAACAATACTTTTGTCAGATACCAATAGTAATTCATTGTCCAGTAACAGGCATATGAAATAGCTGAATGTTTTCAGTGCCAGAAAAAACACAATCTGCTGCCCAGCCCAGACTTTGCTCAGCATATAAAAAAGACAAGTCCTGCAGCAAGGATAAGTGCTTTAAGGAGCCCTACTCTCAACTCAGCCCTCCTGATATTACTGAAAGACATGGCTGTTACAGGAAGAGAGAGGAACCCTATGAACAGTAATTGATTCTTCATTCTTGTACTCTCAAAAAAGGGAGATGTACATGCAGATATTTTAAAATCCACTGTTGAAATGGAGGGGGGGGGGGGCGGCATGTTAAAGTTACAGAATTCTGAAACACAATTTTTAAAACTTGCTTTCAAATCAAGTCAGCTGCTTAGCTTCAGCTATAATAACATCTACTTTAATTTGCCTGTAGGTAAGCAGAGGAGGTGAGGGAAATAACTGTTCCCAGACCCCTGCAGCCGTCAAAGGCTGAGCGTGCGGCAGGGGGCTAGGCTGATTTGAAAATGGTTCAGAGGGAGGGAGGGTTGTGCAGTTCATTACTGGACAACCACTGCCATCAGGTGTGCAGATGCTCTTTTCGTTCACAGCAGGTGAGGTAACACATGCAAAAGCATGTGAGCAAGTAGGGAGAAACAACAGCAATAAAAGGAAAAGAAAGATTAATGCCTTAGAAGAACCTCTCTAAGTAAACTCTTCATTTTTGTTCTTTGAGAGATTTTTAAAAGCTGTTCTCCATATGTTTTCAGGTATTGAAGAAGGAAAAGAAAAGCCAAAATTGGACTGAATAACAGAGGCAACATGGAGGATTGTTTATGGCTCCATGGAAGACTTCTCATCCCCGACAGCGGTTGGCATAGAGAGGAATCTTTTGGAAAGGAGGAAGTTTAATGGGCCCTCTGCTCAGTGCAAGGTTATTTTTGAGTTTTATAAGGAGGGAAAATTATTTTAGCTAAGAATAATAATAATATTTCAACCTCCGTTCCTATTTCTCCATGTTTGCATGTGACATAAACATATAAGATGTGTATTTATCTCCATGGCATTCTCAACATACATTTCTTGCATCAAATAAGTTATTAAATCATTAAATCTTTTCACTTTCACCAAGAAGAACAATGAGTCCATTCTCTGTATTGTTTGAGAAAAACTTAACCAGATAGGTCTAATATGGGGAACAAAACAATCCTATATATTTCAAAGTACAGTGTAAAAATACAGTAGAAGTTAATTGCATGAATGTATCCAAAGGAGAATTCAATCTGGCTGAAATATTAATGTAACACTATGTAACAGCTGCCTTAAATTGGTGATGTTAATAATTTTATCAGTCCAGTAAAATCTTATTTGCGGTGTTAGACTATCTGAATATGGTGCAACTTTCCTTAAAAATGCCTAAATAAAGATCAAAGTATCCCTGCATTTCTGTTTCTTCATGATGATTCTCGAAATTCTAGATGGATTGATGGCATTTGAATGATATTCCAACAGCAGCAGCAGCGGTGACAGACATCACGTTGTGACAGATTATCAGCTGCAGCTTAGGGTGGGAAGCCCAAAGCACAAATTCTGTTGACTTGTCATTTGAAGAACTTGCATAACTCATGCTCTGCTGCTAAGTCTAGAACATTTTTGCATTTTTTTTATTTCACAGCGATTGTTTCCTTCACTGAATTCAAGAATTCATTCTGACGGAAAGAATGTGTTAAATAAAAATATAAAATGCCAGAATGCCACACAGCTGTACACATTCTGCTAGAGCACACTCCGAACATCTCTGCTGTATTTATTGCACCACTGAATGGCTGAGACCTCAAAAACTGGCTGTTGATGGAAAGATTCCTCTTTCTCAGCAAGTTTTGCACCTGCTCAAGATAATTTTTCTTCTTTCTCCTTCTAGTACTATGTCATTTTAGGAGGTACTGGAAGTGTAGTAAGAATATAAAGAGAACGGGAACATCAGAGATCAAAATTGCATAGCTGAACCCACAGGTTGGTGTCCAAGTGAAAGAAGACTCCCTTTCAGAGGTACAGCATAGAGACACTTAAAATTGTTATCCCTTGTATCTGTGAATATTCAGCACCTCAAAGAAATAGACTACCAAGCTTAGATCTCAGTTAAACCCCTGGGGTTGACAGTGTTAGTGACACAAAATGTGGTGGGTTTCATTTGGTTTGAGGAAATTTATAGTATTCCAAGAAGGTTTGAACTCAATGTGTCTTCTCAGATCTCAAAAAGTTCTCCACCCGCTATGAGCTTTGAATCATCGTATTTAAAGTAAAAAAACATTTTAGAGCATTAAATCCTGCCTATGATGTATGAACCATAATATAAATAACTTAGAGGCCTGTGTACCCAGAGAGTCCTCTTCTAGACTGTGTTCATTCCCTTTAGAATTACACAATCTATCATTCTTAAGAAAGATGATGGATAAATGAGGGCTAAAGTAAAAGTCACTTGTAAGCTTGCCAGATTTCAACCATCTTGGCTGAAATTGTCCCTGAAAGGTATTTCTCTTGGGGGAACTATTTTTTTGGTGGAAAACTTTTTGTCAGAACAAGTCATCTATTTCCAAATGCAAGTGTATGAAAAAAAAAATCATCTGGAAAACTTTTCTCTACTTTTCTCTTGCTGTGGAACTGGGTTTTTGGAAGGAGGATAGCATTTATGTTAATAGCACTTCTGAATTTATGGGGAAAGTCTATTTGTCTTTGTCCAAGTTTTAGAAAAGTATGCCTGCACTTCCCTGTGGTGCACAGGTAATTCTCAAAGTGTTTATCAACTTCAAGAATGATCCATCTTGTGGCTGAACAGGATTTTCCCTACCATCCTTGATCTGCTGAGTTTCTCCAGGCCTGACTACCCAAGACACACTCCAGAATGGGGACCCCAACTTTGGTTCCCATGTATTGTCAATACCTCCCCAAAGCTAACACAAATAAAGCTGCCTGGACAAAATATGAAGGAAGCAAAGCTTTGATGAATCCCAAGCAATAAGAATAGATTCTAGATGGATAAACTAAGTGAAGAAACTCTACCTTTTCCCTTCAGGACTGCAGTAAAATTAAATAAGTAATGTTTGTTGAGTATGTCATAGCTGCGATGATAAACCACATAGAAAACTCTGTAAAGGAATCATTACTTTTATTGTCAGAGAAGAATATAGCATGCAGTAAATAAGACAGGCTGCCACACCTTGAAGCACAAGGAAAAACAAAATACAGTTTCCTCATTCAGTAGGCGCCATCCATCATATGTTATGAATGAGGCACAGGAAAAAAGATTGTGTGATCATGTAATTAAAGGCAATATCATAATTCATACTCACAAGGGGCCAAATTAAGGTTGAACAGACGGCCTTAATTCTGACATTACCTCACTCTTGAATGCCTGACTTTGCAATCTCAATACTACTCTCTTGATTTAGTATAGAACACAAAAAAGGGGGGATTTTTTGTTTTAAAAGGCTGGTTAGGAAGTCTAGCCACAGATTTGCCATGAATTTCAGTACATCCGAATCTCCTATTTGGCTTTATAAAGCTCATCCTCACTTTCTTCATGCATTTAGCTACTCCGAAACATACATGCATAGTTCCCATACCATTCTGTTACAGACTTTTGCCACAATTTCAAAATTAAATAATTTTAGTCTGTGATTTAGTTTGTGTGTGATAAAATCATAGTTTGTTGTCTCTCTGCAGCAAACATTGCCTTATTTTAAAGGAAAATGACAAATATTTTCTCTAATTTTAAGTTGATTCTTTGTGCCTCTGCCCACATGAGTAGAACTAGCTAAATTACCACCACTGCACATCAAAGCCACTTGGACACAGTGAGTAGACTGAAAAATGGCTAACCGTTCTGCAGGCTCCCACGTGGCAGTTGATAATGGCAGTAACAAGACACACTTCTTAGTTCATTTTTCCTATTGAATTTGCTATTCAAAGACTATTTCAAATCCAAACAACAATTTCTTCTTCGCCTTTTATTTTCTATAAAGATTGGTCAGTCTGCAGGGCTCCAGTACACACTTCGGTAGCTTTTGAAGACTCAGATACCATTAGACTGAACACTGAAAGGATTTATAATCTAAAGCTCGAGTTAGAGTATAGTCCTGAAGAGGCCGTCAATGTGAGGTCAGCATCACTGAGGTAAGTTTGGTGTTCCTGCCCTGGAAGTAAAGGAGCAAGCAGTAGGTGATGAGTAGGTGAGGTCGCCTCTGAATGCAGCCTTGGAGGAGTTGTGCTACTAATCCTGTCTTTTATTGCTCCCGTGTTTCATGTGAACAGGGGCAAGTGTTGATGACAGGTATTTTCCAGCAGCAGCAGAAGAAAGCTCCTAATTAAAGCGTAGTACATCCTAGTAGAAGAGGTCATCTCCGCTGGGGTATCCCAGCTGCTCTGCTCTGTTCCTGTGGGCCCAAGCTTCACATGCCACAGTAGCCAGCCGCTTAATCTGGGGTCACAAGTGTTGCAGGGAAGCGAAGAAACCTCTGAGTTTTATTATGTTTGGGCCATTATGTTTGGCCCAACATGTCCAAATGTGTTGTAAAACAGCAGTTGTCTTGAATGTGCCTGACTGCAGTGTTAAACCTGGGGTTTGACTATTGGAGAAGTCCCAGGAAAAAAAAGCAGTTGCAGGTTTGACTGGTCAACTTTCTATAGTAGCAATGATCCCTCCTCCTTTTGAAGCCGGAGGAGCAAAGGGGAAATGAAATTAGCCTGGAAAGTAAAAAGATCTAGCTGTTGGCATCTGTTTAGAAAAGTACTTGGGCGCAGGCTGAACTCGGAGCACATGCACAGGGGCTTTGCTGAATGAGGGGGCAAGTGGACTTGCAGGTGGGATGCTTTCTGTAGTGCTAATGACGAAAGAGCTTTTTGTGCTTTGGAGTGAAAATAGGTCTTCTGAGCATAGTTACTTCCTCTTACTTGTGTTATTAAGTAACTCTAAGAAGAACAGAACTGTCCAATTTACAGACCATAAACATCAAATATATTTAACGTATATTCTCCAAAATAAGCAATTTTATTTTTATCAAAAATGCACTCTGTTTTGTTCAAGTAACAGATGGAAATCAATGGATTTTAATGTAAACCAGAAGAACGAGTTGTAGTCTTATTCCCTTAAGTGCCCTTTTCTTGTTCAGACCACAGCTGTAAAGGGATTTGAACCTCAACACAATAAATGCTGGTACAGAAATTTGAAAGGTAGACCACAGACTTCGCAGCCCACCAGAGGAAGTATCTGCTGTTCCTTATTGTTGCGTAAAATGAAACAGAAGTAAAATAGCATCTTTCTCATATCATTAGTATTGTAGCTAGTCATGGTATACAAGTTCAGCATTTTATATATAGTTTGTGTATTAAAAAGTAAATATCTACCATTAGGCTGGAGAAGTATCTCCACAGTGTGCATTCTAAATATAGAGATAGATGGCTATGGTACAGTCAGTACGAGGACATAATATCTCTTTGGTTTTTTAATATGCAGATAGTCTCTGTTGTATGTATGTTGTGTACATAAAAGTTACACACATGCATACAGATATATATGCACACACCGTATACACACAGACACACAAGATCTTCTGTAGAAACAAGTAACAACAGTCATGTTAAATTACTTGCAGTTACTTGCTTAACACGGCAAGAAATTGGGCACTGTGAAAGGTGTCATTCTTGTCATGGGCAGTAACTCCATCATAACACCAAACTGGCAGCAGCTCCTCATGCTCCCGCTTTTCCCCTGGGACTAAGGCTGATGAGCTGCCAGCCATCCTGCCTGTAGCAATAGGGATGAGCTGTGGCTGCAGTACTCTGCAGTACTGCATGTCTGGATATTTAATTTTGCAGGCAGAGCAGTGCCTGGCTAGCTTTCTACATGTAATAATCTTAGCTTATTTACCATGTAAAATAAAATAAATTGTTCTTATTTAATAATGGTTCCCAGTTTGGCTTCTAAGTTTATGCCTGACGTGATGAGATAAAAGGGGGGGAGGTCACCCTCTTCTGTTACTGGTATTAAGCTGAAAACCCGTTTCTCTAGAGGTGGCTTAGCAGAACAGGAGTGTTATTAGTCATAGAGTAGGAAGAGGCAATTAAGCTCACAATACTTAGAGAAGCAGCAAAAATTATGATAATGGAGAACCTCAACTACTTGTATGTAGTCTGGCCAAGAGTCACCATGAGACAAGTTATAAAGAAGGAATTTCCTGAATCGTTATTTCTTGGAACGAGCACCTGTGGAGTACACAAAGGCATGGAGGTGAAGCTCAAACCTGGGTGAAGCTCAGGAGCCCATTGGGGACGTAATCCCAGCTGAACCATTAAGCAATACTGACCACAACATAATTACAGTCACCCTGCCTGGGGAAGGTAAAGTACCAAAGCTTAGTACAGTGACCCTGAATGCTGCAGAGGAG